TGATTCATTACTAGAGTAGTAATGAAATCATAGTAATTCATATTCAAGTTTTGAACTTTAGTTACCACAGCACTACGTTGTAGTAATAAATAGTCATATTTATGTAAATAAGTTTTATTTTAGTAATATTCTCGTAAAAAACCCTAGTATCAACTATAAAGTTTAACCGTTGAATCTTAATTTATTATAAAAGTCATATTTAAGCTCGATTTCCCACCGGGCCACCGGGTGTTTTCCAAAAATATTATCAAATAATTAAATTTATTTACACAAATATGACTAATAATTATTACAATTTAGTGTCATTCTAACTTAATTTTAAAATTTGAGCATAAATTACTGTGTATTCATTACTACTCTAATCATTACTCACATTCTTTGCAACAAAAAATGAAATTGGGGTTCCACGATGCCTAAGATGTGAGGCAAAGGGCATCCACAGCCGCAATAAGTATCGCCGATCTGCAGGCATTAGTTGTGAAAATAATTCTCTGGCTTACCCGTAGTGGTAGCCCTGGCAGATATATTTATAGTGAATAATGTCAGAATTACAATAGAAGTCTTCAAGAATAAATAAATATAAATTCTACACTATTACACCCCCTCAAGCTGTGCAGAGGAAACAATGCGCAGATTGTCACGAAGAAGAATAAATCGTTGTGGAGACAAACACTTAGTAAAAATATCTGCCAGCTGAGCCTGAGTAGGAACATATTTCACGCGCAGATCGCCATGAGCCACCCGTTCTCGAACAAAATGATAGTCTATATTAATATGCTTACTGCGGGCATGATGAATCGGATTAACTGAGAGATATGATGCTGAAACATTATCACAGTAAAGCGTAGTAGAATCTCGAACAGGAAAGCCCAACTCAAACAGCACCGATCGAACATGAAGCGTGTCCTGTACTGTGAATGCAACTGCTCGGTATTCAGCTTCAGTGGATGATCTGGAAACAGTAGGTTGCTTCTTGGAATGCCAGGAGATGAGATTCGGCCCTAGGAAAATAGCATAGCCAGAAGAGGAACGACCTATATCCGGGCAACCAGCCCAGTCAGCATCCGAGTAGGCAATAAGAGTTGGACGTTCACGAGAAGCCTGTAGAAAAAGTCCATGTGTGGAAGTGCCCTGGAGATATCTGAAAATATGCTTAACAGCCAGCATATGTGAAGTACGGGGGGCATGCATAAACTGAGAAACCAAGTGTACAGCAAAAGTAATATCTGGCCTAGTCAAAGTTAAATACTGTAATGCACCTACCATACTCCTGTACTCCGTGGCATCCGCAAGAAGCTCCCCATCAGTGAGAGAGAGTTTAGTGCGACTCGGGAGAGGAGAACGAACAGGTTTCAACGTATGAAAGTGAAAAGGGTTAAGAAGATCAGATATGTACTCATGCTGAGAAAGAAATAAACCGGACGAAGTCCGAGTCGCATGAATACCTAGGAAAAAATGCAGATCCCCCAAATCTTTCATGGCAAAACACTTAGCGAGAAGGGATAAAAAATGGGAAACTAATTTTGTGGAATTGCCTGTAACAATAATATCATCAACATACAACAAGAGATAAATAATACCAGAATTACGCCGAAATATGAATAAAGAATTATCAGACCGACTGCATACAAAACTATGAGAAAGAAGAAAACTGCTAAAACGATGAAACCAAGCACGGGGTGCTTGTTTAAGACCATAAATAGCTTTACGAAGCCGACACAAATGATGAGGAAACTGTGGATGAACGAAACCAGGTGGCTGACACATATACACCTCCTCCGTAAGATAACCATGAAGAAAAGCATTTTTGACATCTAATTGGCGAATGGGCCAACCAAAAGACACTGCTAAAGTAAGAACAAGACGAACAGTAGTAGGTTTAACAACAGGACTAAAGGTCTCAGTAAAATCAATACCTGTCTGCTGATTAAATCCCTGTGCAACCAAGCGAGCCTTATAGCGGTCAACAGACCCATCAGCCAGATATTTAGTCTTATAAATCCATTTAGACCCAACCACATTCTTATTAGCATCAAATGGAACTAAATCCCAAGTATGATTAGAAATAAGGGCATTAAATTCTTCTGCCATAGCAGCTCTCCACTTAAGATGTTTATTTGCAGATGAAAAACATGTGGGATCAGGTGTGTTAACAACTGTATTTAAATTAAAAATAGTCTTTGGTTTAAAAATTCCGGATTTGGATCGAGTTTGCATTGGGTGAATATTAACAACGGGAGGAGAACTCTCAGGAGATGAGGCCACAGGCTCGGCAGAAGAAGAAGTCGACTGATGAATGGTCAAGCTACTGGCCGTGGCTGAGGAAGAGTCTGAGATGGAGTGTGCTGCAGATGGGATGGTTTCAGGGGACGGGCTGGGAGTAGTTGCAGGGGCAGGAGCTGTGGTCTGGGATTGCGGGCTGCTGGGGCTGACAGATGGGATAGGAGAAGATGGCAGCATAGGAATGGGCATGGGCTGAAGTATGCAGGGCGTAGGTACAGTAGAGTCTTGGGATGGCTGGTCTCGGCTAGAATTAAGGATGAGAGGGGCATCAGAAGACATCACAGAAGAGGACACAGCGGAACGAACCAAATCAGAATAAGGAAAAATAGTCTCTAAAAATCTAACATTTCTACTAATATAAACACGACCAGATTTAGGATCAAGGCAACGGTACCCTTTATATTCAGGCGCATAACCCAAGAAAATGCATGTAACAGACCGTGGATGCAGTTTATTTGCAGAAGAAGCAGTAAAATTGGGAAAACAAGCACATCCGAACACACGGAAAAAGGATAAGTCCGGTTTGATATTGAAAAGTTTTTCAAAAGGAGACACACCATGTAGAGTAGGAGAGGGAATTCTATTAATTATAAAAATAGCGGTAAGCACGGCAACAACCCAAAAGTTAGCTGGAAAGCTAGCAGTAATGAGCATAGTGCGAGCCAATTCAAGTAAATGTCTATGCTTACTGATAGCCGTTATATTTACTTATGTTTAACATAAGTATTTATAAGTATTTGTTGAAGAAAGGAAGAGAAATCAGGCAAATACCTCCAAAATGAGAGCTAGAGCATAAAACATTGCGATGAACGACTTTTTAGACCAAGAGAATGACGTTCTGCCCATAATTTGAGTATAACGTATTCTATAGAACTCGAAATCACTCGATTCAAGTTTCATGTGAATGCTAACTCAATAAGGTACAAATATTATGAAGACGTCATGGCCAAAATATGAGAGGAACAAGACTCAATCAACCAACAAAGTCAGATGTTGCTGGTGGGATTTCAGGATGCATACCTCTCAGTGTTTTAGCCATAACGTTTGATTGGATGAATAAAATCACGTCATTCAAGTTTTGGTGGATAGACGACTTCATTATCTACAACTTTGGTGAAGGACTCATGTCCAAATTCGTAGCGGAACATCCCCAAAATCCCAGGACAAAACCGGCGCCGGAATTTCACCAAACCGGCGCCGGTTGCATTTAAACCGTTATTATCCCGGTCGGCCGAAGTATAACCGGCGCCGGTTTTACCCTATAACCGGCGCCGGTTATGGTGTTTTTCAGTATTATTTCAGCCCCGAAGTAAAACCGGCGCCGGTCAAGCCTAAAACCGGCACCGGTTAAGCCCGAATCTGCAGAATACAAAGAGACGTGCAGCCATATCTTGATGGGAAAAACTCACCTTCCTCATGATCTGATCAAATATATCTTCCATGCCTGATTGTTGGGCTCGAATAGACTAAAAGATGCCAATCTTTAGCCTATATAAAGCCCTCAATTCATCAAACAAGATCATCATTCCATTCTTGAAGATTAAATTTCAGTTTTTATATTTCCTTTTTACATTTTCTTGAAGTGTTGGAGAAGGAGCCATTTCTCTCCTCTACAATTGGTTCTAGGTATTATCTCTTGTATGTTATTGTATTTCATTGTTCTTAGTTACACTTTTGTAATTAATATGAGCATTAGAGGCTAAGTTCTTAGCTAAGGCTAGGGATAAACTTCTATGCCCACTAGGTGTTTGATAAAAGTTCTAAACCAATAAATTGTGATTTATCCTTTACATTTTGATTGTTTATGACTATGGTGTACAACATAGAAGTATGTTAAACTTAGTTTATGCTTGCAATTAACGTTGAGGTCTAAACTATGAACATTAAAGGATAAACATATATATTACCGAGAATAGAAATATATCCGGTATTATATTATACGGGTGTGATGTCTTGATATTCAACGGGGTTTTCGGTAGATGAATGTAAGCCGTAACGGGACTTACACGTAACGGAAACCACGCTCTCGCTGCCTTAACCGGAGTTGAGAATATATTAGCGACATCGTATTCATAATTATTGGTAAAGAACTAATATTCAACCCCATTAAAGCATTTAAGTGATTCCCGAAGCCTTAGTTGTTGTTATCAATCACTTTAATCAAATTAATTTAAGTTATATCTCTGAAAATTAAAAAGAAGAACCAAGTTGTTGTTTTCACAACAACACACAACTCAAAATCCCTGCACTTTACTCATTTATTTATTTAAAGTCATCTACTTTCGGACTTGAATTAAACAACGTTTCCCTGTGGATTCGACCCGGTATTTTACCGGAATTTATTACTATATCGGCACTTGTACACTTGCAAGTTTAGCCCGGTCACTTACGCTCAGCAACTCCATTTTGTTGTGGAGTTTCAGGACAAGATTTTTGAAAAACAATTCCACTATCATTAAAAAGTTGAGGCATACTAAAATTGTCAAACTCACCCCCTCCATCACTCTGAAAAATCTTGATTTTGCGGTCAAGTAAATTTTCAATCATTAATTTAAAATGATGAAAATGAGTAGTAACCTCAGACTTACGCCGCATGGGGTAGACCCAAGTGAAACGAGAAAAATCATCCACAAAGCACACATAATATTTAAAACCTAAATGAGATGGGACAGGAGACTGCCAAACATCAGAATGAATTAAATACAAGGCACAAGGACTGATGAAAAACTTTATTAAATGGTAACCGTTGCGACTTGCCCAAGCGACAAGGAATACAATCAGAAATATTAGCAGAAGTGCCAGAAATAAAATCATTTAGTCTAAGTTGATCCAAAACACGAGAACCACAGTGTCCTAGTCTATTATGCCAGATGGAAAGAGATGTGGCGGATAAAGCAACAGGCGTCGGTGCAGGCTGATGAATGGGATAAACGCCGTTATCACTGCGAGCTCGAAGAAGTACCACCCCCGTTGTTAAATCCTTAACAAAAAAATTATTTTTATCAAATATCACAGCACAGTTGTTATTAGCACACAATTTTTGAATGGACAAAAGATTATATTTAATGTGAGGTACATGCAAAACAGATTTTAAGTGAAGTGGCCTGGCAGACGAAGATAAAGAGACCTGACCAGAATGCATAACTGGGAGAGTAGTTCCATTTGCTACAATTATAGAATGCGAATTAAGAGAAAAGGATTTATTAGTTAAAATACCTGAATGAGGAGTCATATGTGCCGAGGCACCTGAATCAGGATACCAGACCATCTCGGAAGCATCAGGGGCCTGAGCAGCAAGAGCAGGTGCAGCCGGCTGAATGAAACGAGAAGGACACATGGAAGCGGGATGACCTGGAGCATAGCAAATCTGGCAAATAATCGGATGAGGAACGGAATTTCCCTCAGCTGAGGAGGAACCTGCATAGCCATGGTTAGTAGAAAAAGTAGATAAGGCATAAGTATAAAAATTTGACTGAACAGACATACCAGCTGAACCTGGAGGCCCAAGAATGCCAGCATGTGGTGCACCCCCTGGAAAATAGCCCGATGGTGGGTAGTCGTATCCAAACTGTGGAGGGTATCCATGTCCACGACCCCGCTGACCACGGCCACCACGACCGCGCTGACCACGGCCACCACGACCGCGCTGACCACGGCCACCTCGACTGCCTCGATAGCCCTTTCCCCGAGTAGCCTCCCCTCCAGCCAGAGGCTGCTGTCCACCTGGGAACTGCTGTTGTCCGCCCTGTTGTGGCTGCTGCGGCTGATCACCATCATGCGGAGGTGGTGCTCTCGGCCTAACTTGACCCGCAAAAGCCTGTGCGGGATTCAACTCCTCCTGGGAGTTCATGTATTGCAAACTTTGTGAGGAGCAATTTGTGATATCACCGGTGAGAAAGAAGACGCGGACGGTGAGAACCCCACTGCAGACGACGAATTCGTGATGGAGAAGGTAGATGGTCCAGTCGCAGCCGCTATGGTGTGGACGGGCGCAGACGTGGACAAAGGCAGGGAGCCGGCGGTGGAAGCACCTGCTGCGGCTGAGACTTGGGAATCGGTAGAAGACATACTGCCGGAAAAAAATTTAGGGTCCAAGGGTTTTGGCTCTTGATACCATGTGAAAATAATTCTCTGGCTTACCCGTAGTGTTAGCCCTGGCAGATATATTTATAGTGAATAATGTCAGAATTACAATGGCAAAGGGTGTTCGTTGTGCGGTTAACGATGGGTACTCTGGATTTCAGGTGGAGTCTGATTCGACTATGGCCTTGGCGTTACTGAGTGAAGGAGATGCAAGGTGCTGGTCAGATCTAATTCAGGAAACCAAGCTTATTGCGAAGAGGAAAGGTCTGAGCTTCGGTCATGTTATGCGCGAAGGAAACTGGGTGGCCCATTTCTTAGCGTTGGATCACACGGGCCTTAAAAAATGCTATGCGAGCCCAAATACCCTTCCTATTCGGGCTAAGAGGGCTTTTTATATGGATATTTTTAGCATCCCTTCTATTAGATGTTAAATTTACTTTTGTTAAAGTATTTGTTAATTGGGTCAGGTCCAGCCCCCCCAATTGATGTTATTTTCAATTACTTTTTTGTCTGTTTTTTGGGAGGAATGCCTCCCGGAAAGGTTTTGGCTTAGTCCCCCTTTTCTGGTGTATTTGTTTTTTATTAATAAAATCCGGTAGATGTTCCCCGGCATCTACCCCACTGATTTTGGTGGTTTGCCTACCGGGTTAAAAAAAATGTCAGAATTACAATAGAAGTCTTCAAGAATAAATAAATATAAATTCTACACTATTATTAGTGCCCAAGGAGAGATGGCTTACATTCCAGGGGGATTTGGCAGAGAGCGTCGACCAGGGCCGGTCCTGTCCAGTTTTGGACTTATGGGCGATATACTATTTTGGCCTTATTTCCAAGACAAACATTAAATTATACTCCCTTCGTCCCGCAAAGAAGTTCCTGCTTTCCTTTTTTAGCAGCCCCAAAAAGAAGTTTCCATTTCCGTAAATGGCAAATTATCTACATCAAAATAGTGCCAAACAGTGCAAAACAGTATCAAACAGTGTCAAACAGTGTTGAAACAGTGTCAAAACGGTAAAATTTACCCCCTGGTAAGTTTATTTCCTTAATATGTGTGTAGGTCAAACCGGAAACTTCTTTGCGGGACGGAGGAAGTACTTACCTAAAGTAAAAATTACGAAGTATAATAAAACTAGGAGAAATTACTCTAAATACGACTAAAAACGTTTATATACTCCAAACTAAGATTATCATGTTTTTATTCTCTAAATAGAAGTAATTAATGTCATATTTTGGCAGTACCATATTTTACACATGGTAGTATTTTCCGAACATGACAATAATTACTCTTGTTCAGAAAATAAACATAAGACAGTTCTATTTTGAAATTCTCATAAAAAAACATGACTTACAACCAACTCTATTTAAAAATCAAAACTAAATTTATATTCTTTTTAAAAATTTGTCTAGCTTTGTTTAAGGCTTTTTTCTTATGTTTTAAAATTCTCAAATTGTCAACAAAAATTACACATTACACCTAATTAATTAATTGAAATTATAAATAAAAAAGAAGTCTACTCATATTACATGTAAAGAAAAAAACTTGGACCTAATTTTCTTTCTACTTTTTTTCGGGCCTAGGGCGGTCGCCCCTGCTGCCCTCCCCCTAGGACCGGCCATGGCGTCGACGACAATCTCTGAACGGGAATCACAATTTCAGCGTCGGAGCTATATTTTCGGACGAGCGAGCAGGAGCAGCGGGACATATATAGTCAAGGGGGCCATGCCCCCCCCCCCCCCCATTTTTTAGTAGTAGTGGTGCTCAAATATTTTATTTGACCTCTTCTCACTTTTGATTTTTTAACAAATGTCATGTACTTTTGTAGCATAACATTTATTGGCTTCTAATTCAATTTGTGGGGTGTATCAACGACTAAGCAAGATATAAAATTAAAGTTTAAGTTTAACTTGAACGGGGTTAAAATTTCTATCTCTATCATCCTTTGAGGTAACTCACCGTTTCGGGAAACTTTAATTTGAGGGAAACTCGTAAAATTGAAAAGGAAAATGATATCTTTGAAATTTTAAGCAAATGTGAGGGATCACAACTTAACCCGGCCTTTCCCTTGACCATATCATGTTAAACGGGATTTTTTTTCCCTCACTCTCGCAACACGAAGTAAGGAAAATCTGGATATTTGATTTGGAAAGATTTTGAAAGTGAAAGGTCGGAACTTGAGCATTTCTATGAAAATCCTAAGGATAAAAATGTGAAGTAGATGATCATCATGATCCAAGTCTGAACGACTGAAATTAAAAAGACAGTGTCATGTCACGACGTTAAATAATGCGCTTTTTGAGAGACACCCAAACGAGGTACGTCTTTATGTGTTTAATTTTGTTTTCCTAACAAGCTCCTCTTTACCTCTTTACATTTTTACATCTTTAATCTTCCAACCCACCATCCAACTTCACCCCAATCACGCCTCAAACCTTATAATCATATCCTTCGTTCTTCAAAATATACTAAAAAAATCATAATCGTGTTCTCGTCACTTTTCTCTTACTCCACATACCATCTAATTCATAAACTCGATCTTGAAAACTCTCACCGCTCTCCCAAACCGCATCTGCTCTGTTTAGCGGGGGGGGGGGGGGGGGGGGGGGGGGGGGGGGGGCTCTTCATTACACACATGTTATTTCTTCTACATTGCACTTTCATTTGAAAAAATAAAAGATAAAAAATAATAAGAAGAAGAAGAAAGAATGGCATAGTTAATAGACACAAAAATGATCATTTTTAAAATTTACAGAAAACTGACCGTATATGTACGCTTCTTTCGCATCTAGATCTATGTTTCTTCCGCATCCAATCTACGCTCCTGGGAACATCGATCGCAGCCTCACGGTCTACTCCATCGCACTCCATCATCGACCTTATAGCCGGAAACTGATGCCTCTGGCGGCCGCCATCTGCCTTCGCTTCTCTGTCCGCGTTCTTCGTCGCCACCCTCCCTCCCTCTCTTGCGCCGATTTCTGTTTGGCTACAGTGGTCGCGGCTTGGTGCGACGGATTTACGGTTTGGTGCGCCCAAAATCATTGAGCCCCTGAGCCGTATTCCTTTAGCCTAGAGTTTGGCTACAGTGACGACAGAGTCTTGGTGCGACGGATTTGCGTCACAGGTTGAGGCTTTTAAGCGGTGGAAATGTTGGTTCAGTCGTGGCTGGGTTGATCAGGGGGCTGCAGAGTTGGGTTGAATTGGTCGGAGCAGGGGTTGTGGAGGATTGGATCTGGGCCGTTTGGTTGGAGTTGAAGGTTGGGAGGTGGTCTGGGGCAGGTCTAGGAGGTATGACTGGACTCTGGAGGGGGCTGGGGCTGCGTAAGGCCATCTCCAACAGTTTACCCCATTTTTTGCACTAAAATGGTGTGAACATCACATCATACAGTACTTTATCTCCAACAGTTTACACCATTTTTATCACTAAAAAGGAATATTCTTTTTTATTCTTTTACTAACTTTTTACCATTTTATATTTAATTATCTAATTATCATATATTTAGACATTAGCCCTCATTTAATACTAGTATGATTTTGACATTTCACTCATTATTTCACAAATGCAAACTAAATTAAAATACTACTATAATCCATAAAGGTACAAATTATAAATGCACAAACGGATGGGATTACCAATATTACTCTTAAAATTATATAGGATATACAGATAAAAGTATATAGAATAAAGAGTTACGTAGTACTCCACTAATCCGTATATCAAAAGCCTAGAGAACAGCTAGCACATAGATAAATTTTGCACACTATACAGCAAAGGTAAAAAAGGATGGCGCATCACCATATCGTGCGCCAAATATGGCGTAAACAAAAGCCCCTTCCCCCATTTTGGTGAAATGGTGAAACATTTGGTGCAACTGTTGGAGCAAAAAAATGGCAAATTCCTCATTTTGGTGAAAGATTTGGTGTTTGTTGGAGATGGTCTAAGGGATTTCCAATGCTTGGGCATTGGGAAGGGGAGGGGCGGTGGAAGTAGGCGGTGTGTGGGGGAGACGCAGTGGGAATTGGATGGTGGTGGTTGCCGGAATACACTGGCCGGTGCAATTGTGCGTCACTGCGGAATTGTAACTGCAAAGACGTCACTGCGGCTGCGTGACTATGACGGCGACGATCTCCGACAGGCTACGGTCACCTGTGGGAGGCAATAGTGGAAGTCACTGTATAGCGTGTCACTGTGGCGGTGTAATTGACGTGAAAAAATTTGACGTTCACGACTCTTAGTTACAAAAAAAACGAACACAGTGACATGAAATTTTTGCAGTGACATCATGTTTTCTAATTCTACAAAACCTTCATGATTCCTTTTTTGCCCCTTTTTAAAAGTGGTCACTTTTTTGGTAATTGGTTCAAAATTAGTAATATTCAAGTAAAAAACCCAAAAAAGAAATGACAATTAAGCTGAAAACCCGAACAAGCAACCTAAGCAACAATGAAAAAAGGTGAGTCAGGGAGAAAAAAAAAGAAATGAGAGGCTAGGATAAAAAAATGAAAAAACTCCTAGGCGAAATGAGAGAAACAAGAGAAATTATTTTTACAGGGATTTGGCGATACAATGAAGTAGATGAACATGAAAAGCATAGAAGACAAGTAATCCAAGAACATGAAATATGTGGTGCATAAGTGTAACAATTTCATTGTAAAACACATTTTAAACATTATTTGATTGTCTTTTGCTTGTTTGTGTTTGCTTAAACTGTTGGTGAAACATCGACTTTACTCGAGGACGAGTAAAGAAACCAAGTATGGATATGAGGGGGGTTGATATTGTTATATTTTTATTATGTGTGTTTGCATTTTTAATTAGTTTCATTGTTTGTTGTACTGGAAAATACACATTTTTGGTGTAATTACTTTTTCTTTCTAGAGAGTTTGTTGTAATTGGTTTAGATTAGGATTATTCTGAGCTTAAAGCTGGTCAAGATCATCCAAAGGATCAAGATTGGACCCCAAAAGATTAAGGAAATTAAGTGCAAGGAGACAAGAAAAAAAGAAGATTGAAAAAATATTTCATATACCCATTCGGGTATAGGCAATACCCGATCGGGTATTGAGTTGATTTGGGTGTCAAAATAAGAATTAGGAAGATCAGAAGAAACAACGTGCAAGATTATATTTTGAAGATTTGGCTCATACCCGATTGGTTATGTCTCGAAAAGATTTGGCTTGAAGACCCAATCGGGTATCCCATATACTCGGTCGTGTATCAGACCCTGCCACCTCCAAAAGCCTATAAATACACCCTTTTTCCTTCCCATAAAATCACCAGTTCACATATACTCTTAAGTTCAATTTAGATAAGTGTTGTTTTATATATTTCCTAGCATGTTTAGTCTCCAAATGAGGGGCTTGACTCTTCCATCTTGGTTTTGCTACATTGAAGCTTAGGATTTGTAAGTTGTGAGTTGTGAGTTATTTTCTTTAAGCATCTTAATTAAATATTAATTACATTCACATTTTATATCTCATATTAATATTTGAGCATTACTTAAAAGATTAACTATTTTTTTTCATATATTAATTATTATTACAATCAATCGAGTAATACGCTTGTTATTCGGTCGGTTCTTTCAACAGTAGTAAACTTAGTGTATTAATGTACGCGTCTCATGGTTAATAATCTAAGATGAATTAATTATATTGATTAAACCAATAAACCGTTTGTGTTGCGGTTATCAACTCAATTGATTTCATTTCAAGTTTTATTGCTACTATCGGGTCAATATATGACGCATGTTCTATATTATTGACTTGATAGTAAGAAGGGGCGTAGCTAGGGGATGGTCAACCTTGGCCCTGGCCCAACCCAAATTTTAAAAATGTCTCTGTTTTTAGTGTAAACAATTCCGTGTAATTTTTTCCCCAAAAACATTCTTTGTACCGGCCCAACCAGTCCGACATAGTGCTCTGGCTCCGCCCCTGATAGTAAGGTTTATTAATGAACGTGTCTCGTTATTAATAACTACCTTCGATGAATTGGAAATACTCCAAGATTGAGTATTCGAGAGGAAGATGGTTAAGATACAACCGGGATCGACGAACATTTCATTAAGTGGAAATGAGAAAAAATAAAACAAGTCTTCATCTCTATTAGATTAAACCACATAAGTCGTTCATCTTAGTGTTTAAATTAATTAAATCAAATCAATCTTAAAACTTATCATAAAACCTCCATTTACTTATGATGGTACCATGGACTCAGACCATGACCCAATTACGGAATCCAGCCCATCAGGGACGTAACTATGTATATGTCTATGGGGCCTTTGCCCCTCCCAACATTTTTACTTTTTTAATTATTATTAGCTTGTAATTTCTCCCCCCCCCCCCCTAAATTTGTATTTCCTCTAGTAGTATAGTAGTTCAAAATATGTTTATAGTTTATACTCCCTACTACATTTATAATTTTTCAATGCTTCATTAAAATATCATATGCATAAAAACAATATATATTCTAGAAGTAGTCCTTTTGGAAAATATTAATCTAAGCTATAACAACACTATACTTTGAAGAAGTGATTATTAGCTCATAAATAATACTCGATACTCCGTATGTAAAAATATATTATTAATAATATATTATAGAGTAGTATTGGAGATATCCGTCTTAAAGTATCTAATATAAAAGAATTATAAGAATAAACTCGGATAATAATTTAATAAACTTTAAGAGGAGTAAATTATGTAATAGCACTTTGCTCCCCCTACCCTCACCTCCTGGCTCCGCCCCTGCAGCCCATAACGGGATCAACCTTCAACGAGAGAAGCTAGCCCTTAACGGGATTAATATTGATTAGCCGCTGGGCCTAACTGAGAATCAGGCCCACGATAGGAACTCACAACCAGGCCAGGCTGGACAGCAAACCTCGAGCCTGGGCGGAGTTCTAGTGGGGCCAAGATATTCCTAGGGCTTACATGGCGGGCTATCATTCGAGCATAGCTATCTGGCAGTAGACAAGAATAAACAGAAGAATATGGTCGAAGGAGATAATCATTGCACAACATCCAGACGTTACAGGAGTTCTATTCGACTAGAATGTAATTAAAAGCATTTATTGTATCAGTTTCCTCCAATAATACTAGCTAGCTCCTAGAGTCTATAAATACTTCCTGTATATTTCCTATCAAAGGACTGGATTCCGGATAATAAAATACTGCCTCACGCTGCCTAAATTTCATCTGCTCTCGTAGATATAGCTCTCGTAGTTGGATTAAACTCCATCAACCTAATTACAAGTTCCATAAAAGAGACATATTCTTTTTCCTGTGAAAATGATCCTTACTACAATATACTACTCCCTTCGTCCCCTTTTAAATGTCCCGGAAGAGGGTGACACGAGTTTTAAGAAAAGTCAGTTTGTGTGGTTGATATTAATTGATAAAGTAAGAATAAAGTAAGAATGATTTTGAGTCACACAAACTTTACTAAATAAGGTATGAGACAATCAAATAAGGACATCCAATATAATAAAACAAGACATTTAAAAGGGGACATAGGGAGTACATATTAGTGCAAGTATTGAATGTGTTTTGAGGCACAAAACGATTTTAGAAGTAAAAGATAGAATATAGAAACAATAAGATGACAACTCCCGTACCCATCCAATTTTAAAAATGGGGAACCATACCTACTATGCATTTGATTGATCCAAATCACTATATGTTTTTTAGTTTAAATTTAAATAATTTAACTGCATCATTTTGATTGGTTCAGGTGAACAAAGAAATGTATGTTATCATAAAATCTAGCAAAGAATAATAGATAGAGATGTAGAGACGACGTACGTAGAGGCGCCAATGGAGGCCGGTATTTAGGGAACATTGGTTTTGCATGTAAGACGTAGGCGGAATGCATGAGAGGGCGGCAGGGAACAAACCTGCATAAATTACGGTTGCATGCGCGCGGCATAATATATATGGGAGGAATATATAGTGCGTACGTAGTATATATATTATTTATACGTGAATTTGGAATGGATCATATGATGTGATACCCGGCCAGTTGGCCCTAGCTACTCGATAGTATATATAGTATAGTATGAGTGCAAGTGTAATATTAGCGGCGGCGGCGGCGAAATGGGTGGTGATACTTTGGGTGGTGGTTTTACGTGCAGTTTATTGGGTTGTGTTTGAGAAGACGATGGCGGCGGCAAAAAGACTCATACTCTTCCCTTTTAGGGTTGGCCTATGGCATCTTCGCCTTCTCCTCCGCCCCTTTCAACTCTCCACAAACTTACAACGCCTCCTCTCCTCCATGCAGCCTTAATTCACCGCCCGCCATTTCCATTCCATCATACAATATATACATACATCAACAAATTAAACCGCCCGCCCGCCCAATATAAATAAATAATAAATGAATGAAATTCTATGTATACATGCATACTCTGCCCTCCCTCGTAATCTTTTATCTAGCTTATTTTAATATATTTTCGTCCTACTAATTATATATTGCTGTACCTGCAATTTTGCAAAACAAAATCAACACCTGCAATTCTAGATGTATACTATCTACATGCCTTGCCTTTTCAATTTGTTTTATTTTGTAATTTCGAATTTCCAATTCCCTGGAATTTTATATACTGTATATAATATTCCATACTAAGGATGTTTTCCTTTGGATTGTTTTCAGTCCCAGACCAGACCAAATCAGACCAGATCAGACTAGACCAGACTTCGGTAGTTATAAAATACACAGAGACCAAACGTTTACCAGACCAGATCAAACCAGACATGTATGACCAGACTTCCGTAGTTATAAAATACACAGAGACCAAACGTTTACCAGACCAGACCAGCATGACCAGACTTCCTTAGTTATAAAATACACAAAGACCATATCTTTTATAGACCAGACCAGACCAGACCAACAAATTTTAGTCCAAAAGAAAACATCCTAATAATACTTCAATTCCTAGCTAATAACTGATCCATACATCTAAATTTTTACCTTTTCAATTAAGTTAAACTATTTCAAACATACGTACGTACATCTTCGATTCATTGCATGCACGGACCGCCCAATAGTCCTCGCGGACTTTGTTTTTCAAACAAATTAAACTTAACATGATTTTTTCTCACAATCATAATTTAAAAGAAATTAAGTATATACTAACTAAACACGTAACAGGAGTAACTAGACTAAGGACGCATTTACTTCGCCGTTAAAGTCACAGTCAGGTTAATAAGGTAAGACGCGTGAAGCAGGGGTGGATCTAGCATTAGCATTTAGCGTGGGCCAAAATTTAATTAAATAAAGCATATTGCAAAAAAAATGTAGTAAAATAATACTTCCTCCGTTCTTAAATAAATGCAACCGTCAACATTTCACACTTGCCGAGACACAACTTTGACCATTAATATATATAATTTTGTATTAGTAAAAAAATTAAAAATATTAGATTTTGAAAATTTACAATGAAGCAAATTTAACAATATTTTTTTCATAAAATAATATTAATACATTAATAAATAAAACGTAGTCAAAGCAGAACATGTGAATAGTGTAAAATTTCATATGTTGCATTTTTTAAGAACGGAGGTAGTACATAGTACAACATATTTATTTAACAATTTTTTTTTGGGAATAAATTGGCAACATAGATGCCAAAGACAAAAAATAAATATTACAAAAATAGATTTTTTTTCAGTCAAATAAAAAACACTTACAAATTTGCAACTATTCTGTATGGGTCTTCATAAATTGATATTGTCAAATTAGAAGTAAACATGAATATAAAAATTAGAATGATATAAACGCATAAAGCTGAAAAACTAAAATAAAAGCTAAAAAAAGAAGAGTATAAAGAACAAAATCATTAAATTAAAGGCTTAAAGCAATAAAGCCATTATAACTCTCCCTGAAATGGTTTAAAATTCTAATTTATAGAAATGGAAACAAAAAAATGTAAATTCAAACACACATATACGTCGATTGAGAGATTAGGCCTTTATTCAATTACGAAGTATTATTTAGACTTGGGAAAGATCGAAACGTCTATTGAGCAGCAGAGTTTGTATCCACGGGAAAGGACGCCTTTTTTTTTTTTTTATTAATGAGACTAGTAATTAAAAGAGATAATTATCCTAGGTATAATTAAAACTCCATCACTTTCCCAATCTATGACCTTATTACTTTTTTACCAAACTAATATCAAAATTTGTATCAATTAATTAATATATTAATAACTAAATAAATAAATAATTTTTGTGGACGTATAAAACGATATACCCTAATATGGCCGACCTGCACTAGCCAAGAGCCTCTTCGCCGATCTGGATGCAAACCTCCGCCGCAGGAGCTACTTTGCCTAGAGGGGCCTGGAGGAAGTATCCACGCCGAACTGGAACAACGCCTCCGTCGCCTGGAGGAAACCAGAGGAAGCATCATCACAGACCTCACACACGGGTGCCGAGGACTTCAACCAGGTATGAACGGTGATGGCTACGCGTGGATCCGGCCACCGGCGCTTGTTAGTCATGGTGGGAGACTATATATTCACGACGGTATTTAATTCTTCCTGAGGTTTTATGGAACGGACAAAGCCAAGGGTATCACGGCTGTTTGTGATATTTTCAAATTCAATTTTCTGGGATTGGTGGAACTGTGGAAGTCTTCTAATTTTTCTTGTACAGTTTGGGATGTTTCTGTGATCATTGGGGTAGCCTCAAGTGACGAAGTCATCTTTCTTTCCTAAATCTTGGATTCACCATTCGTCCGCCTCATCCTTATGCTTTTTTATTTAGATTACTAGTTTTTCTACGCGCATTGCGCGATTGGGTATATGCCTAATACACAAATCATTTGTGTAAAGTATCTATTTCTTACAGACATAAAGAAGTACTACTACGTATGTATGAAGATAGTAACATACTTGAATCTATCAAGTAAACTTTGGACATAATGATATCTTAATATTGAGATGGTGAAACCAGAAATATACACAAACTCTCCTGCCCAAAAATGCAATATTTCAAATGTAGCACTTGACAATGGATGGGTTACACTTAAGTTAGGAAATTTATATAATCACAATGTTTGAAGTAGAATTATGTCATATATGCACGAGAGAGATTTAAAAAAGCTATGAGGAGTATAACAATATCTTTCATTGTTAATAAAATCAAATTTTCACATTTATCTTTTAGAATAAGATGTCCTGTCATTTCACTTTCTAAAAGGAAATCCCCGAAAAAGAGTTAAAGCGCAAAACAAAAACATGATAAGGGCAGTAATCTGAAAGGAGTTTTATGGTTCTCAAGAACATAAGGAAAATTAGGTGTATTAGCATCTTTGAACATTTGTGGATGAGGGAGTATTTATACTTAACAATGTGGAGCTGATTTTCCTCTATCATCATGTTTTTTGAGAGCAGAGAGGAGTCAGAGGGCATCAAACTGCTTGTCAAAAGGCATGCCCAACATATGGTCTTTATCATCAAATTCATCACAAAAACTTGAATCCAATTGTTCATCGTCAGACATAATATCCAAATTTAATAAAATTTGCTTTTCAACCCCATTGATGTGTTTACAATAAAGTTTATCCTCCTCCTCGTCTTGGAACAACAAGTCAGCAACATTAATCTGGTCATTCCTTACTAAAAAGTGTATCATCCTCCTTGACTTTGCTTTCAACTCCATCTTTTAATTTGAGATTTTACCATTACGTTACTATGCAGAGATAATCTAATGACCATTGAACAATCATATGTTACGACTACTGAAACGCAAACCCCCTTCCATATTTCCATCTAATATACGGAGTATCAAATTTACTCAAAGATTATACTCCAACAGATCTCCAATACTCGAATGAACACTGAAATCCAACCTCCAAATACCATGCACTGTTAATCTAACTAACCAGGGAACAATGAACTTTTACCACATCTGAAAGTCTGAAACTAAAAAACCCCTCTAAGAACTCCTTCACAGCGCCAAGATGACAAATTAACTCAAAAGTGGTATCCAAACGGACCTTAAAAAGAAAAACAAACAAACAAAAATAAAAACTTGAATGAACTGCATCTCAAACTCCAAACGCTGGTAAAACATTCAGTGCATCAACAGACAAGTACCTTTAAGAAAAGAAACCGACAAAAGTGCCAGTAATTCGTGCTTATAACGTCTGTGACAAAAAATTCTAAAACACTAAGAAAATTGGACAAGACTCAAACTTTAGCCACCAATCAATCAGCAAACTGTGCTAAAACCGTGCTTCATGAGGCTCGGCAAATTCATAAATAAATCCAATTAGTTCATGTGCAAGGCTTGATTTTGGGGGTGTTTCAGCCTTTCAAGAACTTGAATATCACATTGTACTGGAGTAAGAGCCATACTTTTTCTAGTCATTGCCATCAGGGGTAGAGACAGGAGGAGACTGGCAGCCCCCCCCCCCCCCCCCCCCCCCAGAAAAATTTCTAATGTATATACTATCATTTATGTATAAATAAATATTTACACTACTAGAAAAATGCCTTATAGTGACACCAAATTAGTGTCAGTAAAAGCTTCTGTGACACTAAAAAAGTGTCGCTGAAGGTGGAGAATAGTGACACTAAAAAAATGTCACTACAAGTGTCTCTAAATTATGACACTATAGTATCACCAAATAGTGATACATATGCGACACAACCGTTCAACGACACTTTTACATCACATTTGCTAATGACACTATGGTATCACATAATTCTGTTCTCCATCCAAGCAAAATGATAATTTAGTGACACTTTAGTATCACTTTGTTTTGTAATATTTCAGCATTCCAAAACAATTATAATTTAGAAATTTTAAATCAATTATATTTTAGAAATTCCAATTCAATATTCAGTAAACCCATATACAATAACAAAATCAATAAATCTCAAACCATTGATTGAAGTACAATATTCATTTCAAACCTAAAGCTACATTGTAGTTGAAGTTGCATTCTAGGTATGCAAAACCAGAAAATAGCTCTGATGTAGCTTGGACAAAACATGACAAAAAATCCAGCAAAATCAAACACCAAAGTGATCATTTTACAACTCAATTATTAGAGCTCTAAGCAACTACAAGATTTAGTCCCAAAAAGTGAGCCGCCTACACGTCCTACATCACCTTCACATCAAGTCTTCATAGCAGCGGCATCCATCAACACTGAAAAATGATTGATACACCCTATTAATAATATAATAATAAAAACCACTCATACAAATGCATAGCAATACTCCTTATGCACCACAGGTACATCTTGTTATCAGATCCATAAAACCCTCTGTAGGCAAGGAAGTAAAGAAGAAACATATCTGATTTAAGATCAATTTTCCTTGCCTTAATGATTTACTCATTTACTGTGTTTCTACATTTATTCAGTAAGCATTCCTCATCTAGTTTTTCAGTTTTCATATAGAACCTGGCAACTCAAAAACAACTTTGTCCAACGCATTTCAATTAGCCTTTGTAAAAGAAAAAATAATGGTAAGATGGGTGGATTTGTATTTACTCCCGCACATTGACCTTTATGTAATCGTTGAGTAGTTCATATTCACCTGAGTTATTAAAAACTATGAGTTTCTCAAAACTGAGCAAAACAAAACATGCCTTATGAGTTTTTAGGACTAGTTCGACCTAAAGAGCGCCCTGATTTGGCACTTTTACCCAGCTTGTTAGCATTTTCCTTGGTAAGCTTCATTAGCTGAACATGAAATACATTTAATGTATGTTCTTCAGCTCCAACCCTGCAGATCACAAAGTATGTTTTTCAGCTCCATGGAGTAACTTTAATTGCTAGCGCGTGTCTTTATTGCTTTTCACTATCACGTATTAGAGTACATGATTAGTTAAAAGAAGACATACCGCTCTCCTTGTATTTCAATTTAATAGTGCTACTGAAATCAGATAATAATTGGTGTGTCGTCTAAAACCGTAGTTTAAAGAAGATGGACCGCTCTTTGTGTACACTCAGATTATAGTTCTCTCTGTTTTGTAGTTCTTCATGCTTTTTTGGATTATATATTGATTTTCTTTAGGCCAGACATCAATAAAATATGAAAATAGTTACTGGATCAAATAGCTTTAAATAAATAAGCTTATAACCAATAGTCTATTTGATTCACACACTTTAGTCTTTTTTATTTTCTTTGTGCTAAATAGTCAAATTTAAGCGTTACTATTTAGAAAAATCAAATAGACTAAAAGTGAGTGAATCTATATAGCATAAATAGCATTGGAAATCTAAAACAGGCTCACAACACTCAATCAATCATGTGATATCAAATGATTATTTGTACGAAGGTGTATTTTTCGCTTGATAAATTCGCGGTTAGTGAAGTAGTTAAGAAACCTCTTTTTTAGTTGAAAAACAACATTTGGATAATTATGTCGATTGTTTGACAAATTCTATTAAGTTTCAGTGAGATGAACAAATAACTAATAAGTTTCTTTTGAGTAAATGTTAAACTATTAAAATGCATATGTTCAAAAGGCATGTTTCTTTCTAGCGGATCTAGCAGATACCTAGAATGAGATCTTCCACATCTGGTTGTCATACGGGCCGTGTAGTAAACATTGACATAAAAGGGATTCAGAGGTCTGTCATTCAAGAGAACTAACAATCCTAGCATAGAAAAACAGCCCAATCCACTTGGAAAAAAATGCAATGTGACATTCATGTTATTTCTGTGTTTATAATTGTGTTTTTGATTAGTTTTGAGTGATTATGACTCTAGAAATTATTTACACACTTTTGGTGTAATAGTTTAGTTTGTAAAATGTTTGTAAATTGTTTAGATTAGGTTTGTTCTGAGCTCAAACAGGTCCAAGACCACTATAGGGACCATTGGTGAACATCACAAGTGGAAGGAAGGTGCAAAAATTCCAAAACAAAATGAAGATCCTGATTTTTGGTGTTGTACCCGGTCGAGTATGCTCTATACTCGATCGGGTAAGTCGCTGAAAAGTCAAATCGAATCAAACCGGGAACAAGGCAACATGCAGGAGGATTTTTAACTCGATCGCGTATCCATACCCGATCGGGTAGCCGACATACCCGATCGGGTATGACCCCAGATTTTCAGTTTCGAGGAAACTAACCCTTACCCGATCGGTTGAGCTGAAAACCCGATCGGGTACACGACCCTGCAGGCCTAAAAAACCTATAAATACACCCCATTTCCTCCACAATAAAACACCAATTCCTATATACTTCTAAGCTCAGTTTTAGACAAGTTCTTTCTTTATATTTTCTTCATGTTTAGTCTCCAAATGAGGAGCTAAACTCTTCCATCTTGGTTTTGCTACTTTGAAGCTTAATGAATTTGTAAGTTGTGAGTTATTCTCTTTAATCTTCTTCCTTGAATATTAATTCTTCCTTTAAATACTATTTTTATATCAATGTTGGGGAGTGTTACTAAGATGACAATTAGTTAACATCTTGACATTAGTTATAGTAATAGCTATTTCTTCCTCTATGTTAATATTGGGGAGTGTTACTAAGATGACAATTAGTTAACATCTTGATATTAACTATAGTAGGATTCATCGTCTTTAATATTCTTCCTTGGACATTACTTAAAGGATCAACTAGTTTTGTTTCATATATTAATTATTACTAGAATCGGACGATTAATACGCTTGTTATTAATTCGGTCCTTTCGCGGTAGTAAACTTGGGTTATTAATGCATGCGTTTCATGGTTAATAAACCAAGGGGAATTAATTATATTGATTAAACCAATAAACCGCTTGCGTTGAGGTTATCAATCTCAATCGTTTTCATCTTGATTTTATTGCTACTATCGAGTGAATATACGGCGCGTGTTCTATATTAACTCGGTAGTAAGTTTTATTAATGAACGCGTCTCGTTATTAATAACTACCCTCGATGAATTGGATATACTCCTCGATTGAGTATTCGAGAGGAAGATAGTTAAAGATATAACCGGGATCGACGAACATTTCATTAAGTGGATAAAAGCAAAGCCAAGTCTCCTTCTCATTAATTAAACCACATAACTCATTCATCTTCGTATTTAATTAAATTAAATCACTCAAACCTAAACCCCCCTTTTGTTACTAGTTAATTAAAAAGAGAAATATTCCTTTCCCTGTGGATACGAACCTTACTTCATTATACTACGTATAATTGTTGTATTGTATTATTATTTTGAGTGCACACCGCGACAAAGTGCACGTCACAATGATTCCTTTTCAGGAGTTATTCAATAGTACACTGCAGTTCAGAATGTTATTTCATTAAAAAAAAAGCCTTGTCTATCCTCCCCACAACAAGACCTCTTATCGAGTGGCAAAAGATGGATGGGAACTGGAGTTTCCATCTAATATAATATAAAACCGTAAAAGAATGTTATTTTCTCATAAAAAGACTTATCTATAATAATACCAATTTCAATGGAAAAGCTTAGTTCAAAGAAGAAGACATACTGCTCTATGTGTACACAGATCATAGTTCTCTGTTTTGGTATTTTTCTTCATGCTACTTTCGGGTTATATATTTGAATAAGCCCCGCAGGTATATGGTAATTCTTTGATTATAATGAGTACAATTGTATAAAAAATATACAAACAGTTTGAAACAAAAAAATGAAACTACTAACCCATCAGTTTAAGGAAATGGTAAAAGAAAATTTCATAAATAATCAATAAAAGAATACCCCTTAGGAACTTGTGAAAGTAAACCTCTCACGTGCATAAGTCATAACATTGCATATTTCCTGCACAATAAAGTGAATAAAATTGATATGAGTTGGAATGATGAAAACAGAAATGCAGATTATATAAGATGTCTAAAATAAAACAGAAATCAACCTATCTGATCTCAAATGGAAATAATAGAGGTGATGAACACCTTATCTTCTTAATCTGAACCATAATTGGAAGCAAAAACCAGAATTACGTACTTTAAGGGTTTTATTGAACATATGGAAACTGCAGATTTCGTTACTCACCGGTCAAAATCTACAGGAAAAAAGAAGTAAAAATAAGCATCAACCAGTTCTGAACTTTGAAGGAAAATAACAAAATTGGGTTAAGGTTGCAATGAACAAGAAAAATCAGATTATTTGTGAAGTTGATCGATTTCCGATCAAAACTAAACCAAATTAGATGATATTATTGAAGGACAAATTACATACCTGAAATAGATGATAATCGCTGATCAAGAAGAACCAGCGAGGAGATGCGCGATGTCCCGCGGCCGGACCAAGAACAATGGCCGCACACCGTCTGGGACTCGTCGAGACTCGAAATCGTGAGCCGTCGCTGCTGGATCTACGTTGTCGATGGAATCTTAGTTCTCCCATCGATCAAGCTCGTGAAGAAGAGATAGGGTTCACACAGTACGTAGAAAGAAGGGAAAGAGATTTAAGAGATCTATGGGCTTAGAAAACAATGCCCGCAAGCCCATAAGTAGAGCGGTTCAAATACTCCGTAAAAATTAAAATCTTCTCTAGTGTCACTATTTGAAACCTGTATACTTTTATTAGAAAATGGTGACACTTTAGTATCATTGATGTCATTATATCATAAAGTGTCACTATAAGAGTGTCACTGTTAGGACTGTGCATAAACCGGGTCGGACCGTATTTTAGACCTGAACCGGACCGGAATGACCCGGTCCGGACCGGACCGGTATTAACCGGTCCGGGTTTCGGTCCTTAGTTTTTCAAGATTCCGGGTTTCCGGTCCGGTCCGGGTCAAACCCGGAAAAAACAGGTCCGGACCGGAATAGACCGGTAACCTATTGTTCCATAAAATATATATATATATATATATATATATATATATATATATATATATATATATATATATATATATACTTCGTTTTGAATCATTAGTCAATTTATATTTGGCTTACTACTATGTTTATGGCTTATTTTTGCCTTTTATATATAAACGAATATATACGGAGTGTGTATTTGGTGTCTAATTATTTCCTAAGTTGTTTATAATTTTTTTATGTAGCAGGTCCTAAGTTTTTTATTGATCCTAGTTTATATTTGTTTGATTTTTCCAAATCGCTTTTTATTTGTTTCTTTATTTGCAGGTGTGTATGTAGTTTATATGTAGTATATTTTTGGACGTAATTTAGTTTTTATTACCCCACAATAAATTTTGCCAATTTAATACACAAAAGATTGTAGTTTTAATTATTGTGGGATACTAATTGTTACGATTGAATAGTTTTGATGACTATATTCCAAAATTAATAAATGAGCTAAACTATTATTTAGTCTATTTAGCATATCCGCATATAAAATTATAGTTTGAAACAACATCCAAGTCTTATTCCAAAAAATTTGGGGTCGGCAAAGAACACTCTAAGATAATACTCCGTATGTCTTTTTTTAAAACCGGGTCAATTAGGGTCAAACCCGGACCGGACCGGAAAATTCAGGTTCGGACCGGTCCGGACCGGTTAGATTCAGGTCCGGTCTTCGGTCCATAGAAAATGATGATTCCGGTTCCGGTCCTAACCGGTTCCGGTCCGGTCCGGTCCGGTTTTGGACCGGTGCACACCCCTAGTCACTGTAAGACATTTTTCTAGTAGTGTTATAAGCAGAAAGCTATAGTGAAATTTTATGCTTTGGCCCTCCAATATGAATTCCTTGAGCCCCGACCCCCCAAAATGGCCATTTTTGGCTCCTCCACTGAATGTAATTGCAGATTCTGCCGAAAACATAAGGAACTAACAAGACTGTTTATTTGAATGTTCCCAATGATTTGGCATTTGGTACTTATAAATAATTCTAGAAGCATACACCCCATTCATCATCATCATGATTGTGAAGGTGCCGGAAACATACTGAAAGTCGGAACTTTAAATTATGAGGTTGAAAATTTTGAAAGGGGCTCATATTAACCCCGATCTCTCCTAAATTTGACGTCAAAGCTTTTCGGATATGTGTTCTAGAAAATGCTTGGCATCTAAATTATGAGATCACAAGCCTGCAAACCAATGGGGATGACACTTTATCAGATTACCTCGCTCAATATTAGTGTTGTGATTGGTGAAAACAAAAGGGGTAGTAAGAAAGGTGTAGTAAGGTTGGAAGACAAATTCAATCTGGGAGATATATATATATATATATATATATATATATATATATATATATATATATATATATATATATATATATATATATATATATATATATATATATAATCTATGCAATCAGAAATTCAATCTAATGCATGTTCGCATTCAACATATCAGATTATTATTGTAATAAAAGTTGATTAAGATAAAATCCCTAATCAAATATTCCGTAATTATTAAGATCATCAGTTTGACCAAACCTAATTATTATAGCAATATGAACCGTAAATAAGATTTCTACATTTACAAAAGTGTCTTACATGAGGATTTTTTGGCAATCTGAAGTATAATTATAATCTCTAGTAAACGCAAGTCAGTTTCTTGTAAAAAAACTAATTTTCTAATCCATCAATCATTGGTTATCCAAGAACTAAAACCGAAGAATTCGATTAATACTAAGGGAAATAATGAAACCGATTCATACTTACCTATAGGCACCAGACCACATCACATGCCTGCTTGAGCCGCAGCTATCTCGGACTGGGCGACTAAAGGGAGATAACCTAGCCAAACATCTCGGTGGCTTGACATGCGGAGAAGGTAGGCGGGTGGGTAGCAAGACGCAACATAGAAATTTTATCGGTCAGGTCTAAACTGAAAAATGAAACTCCTTTGGGGCCTTGAGGGAGAAGATAGAAAACAGGAACTACATAGATGAGTAGTTGTACTAACGAGGACATACTGGAGGAAAGGTGAAGCAGTGTACTAACGGGACGGGACGGACGATGGAAACGTTAGTATTGATTTTGTTAGGTGTGCAAAAGTCAAAGCATATTGTACAAGTATTTATAGCTATAGATAACTACCAACACATTTTTACTATCCAAAACACCCTTACCATCATTCACTCTTACAAGATTTTAGAGATGTTTTATTGAATTTAGGATTTGCGAGCATTAAATATGAACAATTAATATTGAACATTTCAACAAGTGTTGAGTATGGGCAGTGAATATATATGGTAATAGACATGTTGTACAAGGCAATGAATGAATGCATTAATAATTCAGTTGTGCACCGATTATGATCAGTATTGTTGTAACACAAAGCAATAATATCATCATGAAATGCAATATATTTAATTCAAGGTAAAACAAAAAATTATTAAATCTAAAAAACTAAAAATAAATTCCTCAAGTAAATGAGAAGATAATTAATTTTGGCGGAGGTGCAGTGATTATTACTGGATGTGTAGTAAAGTTGTGCATTAATGTCATGCATTAACGGCAATATAAAGTGCAGTGATTTTAATTGGACGAAATTAGTGCAAAATGCACATATTTTAAATAAGGGTGTTTTCGTCATTCAACCTTTAAATACAAACAAAATTTATTTATTCTTTTGGATTTTCGGTCATAGATAAGTCTAAAAACTAGTTAGGTCATACATTGAAAAACTCATTGAGTTTTAGTCATATTCTAATAAATTTCTCTAATTAAAACAGGGGTTTTAGAATTGTGTGATTTAATTTAATTAAACACTAATATGAATGACTTGTGTGTGTGTGTGTGTGTGTGTGTGTGTGTGTGTGTGTGTGTGTGTTAATTCAAAGAGATAAAAAACTTGGATTTGCTACTTTCCACTTGTTGAGAAGTTAGTCGATCCCGGTTATATCATTAATTTATCCCCTCTTGAATACTCATGTAGGGTGTTGATACTGAACTGGTATGGATGAGAAGTAGCCCTGGCTATCAAAGTATGCATGCACAAGGCCCAATGCCCTACGTTTATTCTCTTCTAGTCGTTGGAAGCCCAAGCGTTTATCCTCCCTAACTTGTTGGACTTCCTCATACAAATTAGTAATGTGCCTGCCCATAGCCATTTGGTTAAGGTGGATTCGGTTCATACGGTCTAGCATTTGTTGTTCAAAAAAAGGTAAATTGAGGGGCATGTGGGTTGGGTTTGGGTTGATCTTGCAGAGGATCGGAGATGTGTGGGGGTGGCTCTAGTTGTTGTGGGATTTGTTCGGGGATTATGTAGTGGTCCGGGAAGACAAAAGTGTCTTCCATCCCCGGGCTGGGCATCAAAGCTGTTGTTTGGGAGTTCATTCTCGTTGGGATCAGAATGATAAAAAACCGTTGTTGGGTGGGGTTGATCAGCCAATTGTAAAAAATCTTATCCCCAACAGTGTGAGAGAAGCTCAAATCATGGGCATTTAATAGAAATTGAGTATTACAAAAGGCCACTCAAAAATTGGCCGTGGCTCAGTATACCCAAATTTGGAACAAATATGGAGTATAATACTCCCAATAAACAAATCTCCTTTGGCCTCACATTCTTTTTTCAAATGTTTCCACAATGATGAGGTAACATCCAATTTAGGAACTTCCATCAAAATAGCCATAACAAGAATGCCCAAATCAGTCTTTCTAGTCTGATGGTTATTTGGTCTACCCAATAAAAAATAACCAAACCAATTGATGGAGTATATGGCCCAGGAACCCCCGGCCCACAGACTCCTACTTCTCCTACACAAGTCCGCTGGGCTCAGGGAACAACTCAGGCCCAAATACAACGGCCCAAGCCTCAAAGTAGCCCAGAACACACGCTGGGGTGCCTTCGGCCTCCTTGGCCGAAGGCTCCAAAACTCACAGGAAAGCCTTCTTGGCATAAGAAGCTGCTGGGAGAAAACAGGCGAAAACATGAACCTTCGGCATTCTCACGCCCTCGGCATCAGAAAAGCCCTCGGCTACACAAGGAGCCCTCGGCTACGCAAGGAGCCCTCGGCTACACAAGGAGCCCTCGGCTAAACAAGGAGCCCTCGGCTAAACTGGCTCAATCACCGAAGATTCCTTTTAGAGACAGCCAACCACCGCATTTAATGCCGCGTCACATCCGCCAACCGCAATCAATGCGGTGGACGTACCACTGCCGGTGCCAACCGGCTGATGTGACCCTTCGGCCGTTGGATTACTGACACGTGTCCTCTCATCGCATTTATTGCTGCTATAAATAGCAGCCCATTTCTCCTTGTAAATCATGATCTACATCTCAACTCCACATCTCGAGTTCATTTAATAAAATCGACTCTCTCTCCTCCTATTTTGCTCTGGCTTCTCTCTAGTTATTTCCGCAATAACCCTTCGGATAAGATACCCCCCGGGTAGACTATCCATCATTTGGTGCTCTCGTTGAGAGGTCTGAACAATCAAGTAAGAAACCCTCCCCCCCTACCAAATACAAAGCACTTACCAAAAATGGGAAGAACCACTCGTGCCCAATCCAAAACCCTTGAGGAGAACCACGTAGCCCCCGGCGAAACCAACGGGGCTGAGGCCTCCAACAGGCTCTTGGTA